ATGACACCAGTAACCAAACAAGAATGTGTCCATAGCACATGGATGCCCCACTCGCACTTTCATTTTCTATGTTCAGTGGACCGTGAAATTGGGGTCAAAACTCTAATTTAGCATTAAAACTAGAAAGATCATATCATAGGGAACAGGTGTACTAAGTTTCAAGTTGATTGGACTTCAACTTCATCAAAAACTACCTAGACCAAAAACTTTAACCTGAAGCGGGACAGACGGACGGACGGATGAACGAAAGGACGCACAGACCAAAAAAAACAGAATGCCCCTAGGTGGGACATAAAAAATATATAGAGGCTACCTATATAGTCTTAACAAACAAGACAGGTCCCTATGCATTATGTAAAGTTCTAAATCATCTCAACTCTAAAGAGTTTTGAATAAATTAAACTGAGATTATTAAAAAAAACTTCTAGATAGTACAGATATAGATGTGACAACCTCCTTTTATCATAATGTCAGAAGTGAACTTTATTAGTTTTTTTGTGGCTTAGGCTAAAGCTACAGCTTCTTTTTTCACAGTATAATTTCATCTTAGTATCAAATTATGATATAGTAATATCTACATATCTGATTACAATCGTACAAAATTACAAATATTACAATAGTAATGTTATATCTTGCAACATTCCTGCATTTCTTTAAATAAGCATCTCCTTTGTTATGTATATCTAATTCAAATATATTAAATGAAGCTTAAATTTTCAATTTAAAGAATTTATAAGTTTTAAACAAGAGGCTTATTTGTGTTTTCATCTTTACATATAATTATATATATATACAAAATATATATGAAAAGCTCTTCATTTTTACAAAAGCAATAAAAAATCTTTTTAATGATAAAAAATTAATAATGCAAAAATATATATTAGTACTGTATTGATATTTAATACATTGTAAATACTATTTTGTAGAACTGTAGCAAAGATGATAATTGCTACTTTTATCTAAATTTTTTTCTCAAAGATTTTTTATTTTACTGTAATTAAAATTCTTGAAATCACACTGTACAACATATAATAACCAGAATATTGATATAAATAAATAAGAAGTTAAAAAAAACATACCAGAAGGGATCCAGATTTTTTCAAATTCCTTAAAATACTAAGGAAATTCATCAGCAAAAAATTATGATACACCAATTCCGTAGAACAACAATATTTATGAATGTTGACCCCATATTGACCTGAAACTGACACTATACCCTGGAATTGGCTAGAGGGTATATTTTTAACTTTTAACTTTAATTATAGTATGATATAAGAAGTTGTTAACATTGTTAAGTCATCCAAGTGAGAAATTGATGAACTTATTTGACCAAATTTAATTGACTTTTGTATAAGAACAACATGGGTAGATTATAAAATGAAGTGATACATTATGGATACTTTTATATGTGGTCATAAGCAACTGTATGTCTCTATTCAAAAGTTGCACAGAACATGTAAATATTTTGCTTTTTAATGAAATATTTGATACCAACTGTGTTTCATTTCCGAAGTTAATTAAGTTTCATACTGAGGTAACATACTGGGGCTTTTTGTTTGATGAGTTTCAGTTAATGTATCTCTTATAGCTAGTCTATAAATTATGATTGCAACAAGTTATATTTATTCTGAAAATATCTAAAAACAGATAAAACATGATACAAGGAAAAAATTGTAATCTCTATCCAAGAGGTTTTTCTGTCCTCTCCAAAACTTACAGCATCAATCTGCCTAGCAACATAAACCACAAACATCAGAGGAGTAACCTGCATTAACTGGTACCCCATCCTTAATACTGGACTCCTGCTCTATCAACAAAGTGGCACTGTCCTTATTACTGATAAAAATTAATAATTAATCTATATTTCACAATGTCCCTGGGTGTGTTTGATTACTCCCCATTGTTGTGTTTATCTTAATTTTCCTAATCATAGATATATGACACTACTTATACAGATAAAAAAAATTCAAGTGTTTATCCAAATAGTATATCAACAGGTACTTGATATTACAAAAATATTTCTATACAATTGTGTGAATTCAGAGATAAAACAAGAGATTTCCGTAAAGTATTAAGACAAAGATCTGTCCAAATATTGGTGGACTTAGAGAGGATTGAACAGACTTTGTAATGTTACTTTGACCTAATGTTATGTCAGGGATCATCCACAGATACAAAACCTCTACATAGGAATCTATGTGAAGCTGACCGCATAGTTTGTACTTTGAACAACTACAGATTTCTAGCATTCTGCATGTAACAGTCATATTTACATCTATCACATGTTGTCAAACACGTAAATTATTGAAAAAAAAGTGTCCTCAATTCAAACCTAGCCATTTCAATATCAAACCATAAGAATTTGGCAACAATAAGCAAGCAAGTAAACAAAACAATAAATAAGTCAATAACATCAAAAGTACTTCACAATTCGGCCAAATATGTACTTCATAGATAAGGACTATCTTGATATCATTAACCGAGAAAATAGCACAACCAGGACAACTCTGTATCTAAAATTTAATAAATAAGGTTGATTCTTTTAACAATAAATTTTAATCCTGAAAATTCAGAAATTATTGCGAGGTGTTTATTAATGTGAATAATGCAACTGAGTGAGTATCACAATAATAAGAACTTGCATTCTGATATCTGAAGCATATACCTGTTTGCACATTTTTCTGAAATCGCAATAATTTAAAACTCGCATTTTTATCCTTTCTTCAAAAATCGCAATAATAAATGCACACAAGGTGGGGGGGGGGCTGAGGCATGTAAAGGAAACTTAAACATGAATTTATAAAAATTTTCCTATTCTAAACTTGATTTCCCCAAAAATATGGTTTCTGGATCTCATTAGGCTGATTATTAAATCTGTTGTTTATTTCAGTTTTATTCACAGCATAACCAGTTTAACAGAAAACAGTATGTTGACATTGTGTTTTTTACTATTCAGCCAAACTTTTACAATAAGTTCAAAGTATTTCCATGTATATCTTATCTCTAAATAGAAAATAAGTCTACTTCCTTAATACATCAGGTCATTCAATATAAAAACAAAATCAAATATCTTTTTATCATATTTGTTTGAAATTCATCTTTTTTGATAAACTAAACTTGAAATATTCAAATAAATTTGGAGTGTTTATTTAGATAGATAAAATTTGAATTTGTCTAATATTTATCTGTCATATCTACTTTCCTTTTATCTCAGTAACTTGAGCTTTAGATATATGATTTCTTACAAGAACAAGGTTTAAAAATACTTGGAACTAAATAAAGTCCTCCTAGACATTCTGTGTAAATTTTGCCTAATTTCATCATTACCATATGGGATAACCAATACAAATGAACTAAATCCATTCAAAATTTCATCATAGGTATTAAATAACATACAGTTGTTTTCCGATATTTAAAGACAAGATGTCAACAGTAAGATTCAGTATGTATATTTCGAAGAAGTTTTGTTATTGAGACTTGTAAATAAAATTTTTAATCTTATGGACTATAATGAAATCAACAAAATTCCCATAAATTTCTCAGCATGTTGCACTTTTAAATCCTGTTTTGGATGATTTACTAGGCATTCTTTTCTTTATGTACAAAATAACTACGTCATGATACAAACATTTATTTATTTTAAGTGCATGATCTAATATTTCTTCTTCAAAATATTGTGAGACGTGTCAATTTAGTTTCTCAGTTTGTCAATGTTTTCATATTAAATATTTTTGATTCTATCTGTTTTCAAAGATGTTCTGCTAACAAAGCAAAGTAACAAAGCAAAGTAAGCAAATGGTTAAACAAATGTATAATTTTACATGTGATATAACTGTTACTTAAGATTTATACCAAAAGATACCTCAGGTACCAAAATCTCGGGATTAAACCACTTTCTCTTTAAGATTTAAGTCAGATTTTTGTTCCCCTAATTTCATTGAAATATGACTGTCCTGTTGCCCATCATTTCATTTTTTTACAGAAACCTACCGTGTTACCTTTGTAACTATTTCATTCAGGCTTCAACCTTACATAAGAAATCCATATTATAAGCAAATTCTGTTTTCATTTATCACAAAAACTGAAACACTATACATAAAAAATATTTATTTTAAGGTCAAAAATTCAAATCTATGATCACCACTTTTAATGTTTTTTCACAGATCATCAAATTTACATCATGTAACGTAAACAGGAGCAGATACAAAATATTTTCATCATAAAACTTACAATAAAACTGTCACCCGACTGGACTACTCGGACCACACATTAGTTAATAGAAATTCTGTCATTCTAAATGTACCGAGATCTCCATATATTTACAGTCAAAATACCCTTGAGCAGAAATTTAACTAAGCAGAAAATTTTATTTGTGTTTTAGAAATATTATTCATGAAAATTTGATACATGATAATAAAAGTATTGCTTTTACCTATTATTATATAAAGTTGGCTGACAGAGCATGAAATTCGGTAAGTACACTATATTTTTTTTAAATATCAACTGTATCAAGAAAGGTAACTCTAGTTCTTCTTTTCTAGTGGTTGGAAGGCACTTCTTTGTAGGGTGGTGATTATTTATGAAAGATAGCCTGCACTATTATAGGAAAAAAATTATAGAGATTGAATGCATTACAGGGGGAAGGGGGAATAATAAATTGCTCCTTATGTTTTTGATTAAAAGTTTTTATTACCTCTTATTTCAGCTTGCCATGAAATAGTTTCTTCATAATATAAGTTCCAAATGGAAGAAATATTTTGTCAACAAATATTACAGAATTTGTTCCTTAAAGATAAGGGTTTAGAATATTTATTCCAACAGGAACAAATATTATGGCATTGTTTTTCACAGAGTTTCCAGGAAAACAAATATATGTTGACAAGTGGAGGATTTTACATTAAAGATTGAAACCTTCTACACTAAAGCACTTTTATTTCCTCTATATAACAGGTGTGCAGAGGACAACAGAGTGATTTTATCAAATAAAATAATGTACTCACAGGTAGATGTAACAATGTTTGTAATTTATAAGTTGTCTGCCCTTTACGAAGATTACAAAATTCTAGAAACGATTGATCTTCTGTACATCTGTCTTCCAGTAATCTGTAAGGAAATATTAATGACACTATGATGTTAATTTGTCAAAAAAATTCACTTGTAAATCATGTGAAATGCATTGTTGTTGTTGTTAAGTTGCTGTCTCATTGATGTATACCCCATATATTATTTTATTCATATAAAGTTAAAATTCTACTTGTCTGATGAATTTTAACTCTAATTTACCCGTTATGTTTTCAAGCCCTTTTTTACATGAGTAGCTATGTTTAATCTAATAACTTTATGTACTGTCGAAACAAGAATACAATTGTTGAAAATAAACTTTTTGATTGTTGCATTTCAATTTTTATGTAATTAAATTTTTGTATGGTGGGTTTTAAGTCTCTTGTGCTATTTTTTACATGTGTAAATTCTCATTCTATTGTAAGGTATTATTTGTTCTTACTTAAAAAATTTCACAACAGGTGAAAAATTATAATTCACTTTAAGCTTTTGATATGGAATAGTCCTGTTTAGTTTTAACAGAAGTTTGTTCACTTTATATAACTTTTACACATGGAGGTTCTAAAAATGTCTCATTCAGTGACCTAATGTTTGAATCAAGTAGTTTTTAACTGATTTCATTTTTGATACTTTAATATTGTACACTTACTTCCTTGCTTTAGAATAGTTCTTCAGATAATCTTCATACAGATTCCAAAATTTACTAGAAAAAAGATTCCCTGCAAAACAAGAGAATTTGACTTCTACAGTTACAGATTATAACAAGACCGATACCAGGTTTGGACCTGCGTCACTGTATGCAATTAATTGAGGTTCATGTACAATGAAGGATGACTGGTCATTCCCTTTCATTGAAATCAAGAAAACTTTAACAAAAACACTCTTCTTGATTATTGAAATATGTTACACTCTCTTAAGTTGTTAGGCTTAACACTTTACTTTACTACAAGAGAGGATTTTTCCAATAAAACTGCAAAAAAATCCAATAAGACTGCTTTTGCAATAAAACAACAACAGAATTTTGAATAGTTTATTAGTAACTCACATATATTTCAGGGTTAAAAAAAGTTTTAATTAAATAAAAACAAACCTGCTCTGGCACCATGACAAGAAAGTCATTTATTCATAAATTCAATCATTTGCATTCTAATCGGTAAAGTAAATTACCTTATGACCCAGTAAGAGAGTCCTTTCCTTTGGACAATAGCGGCCATATCTTGACTTATCACCTTAAAGTTCACATATTTATCAAAAGAATGGTTAAGTAATGGATGTTTATTGATAATTGATTTCCAATCAAACTGTGTCCATTTATAGAAAAGAATGCCTTGGGTGATACATTTTAACAATCAGAGAAATTATATGGGGGCTTATCGAAAAGTGTATTGGTTGACGGTATTAGTAATGAATAGTCTATATAGCTGGCATTAAATTTTAAATACATTTAGATTTTAAACGGAGAATTTAATGGCTAGGGAATGATAGCAATTGTATGGCCTTGTCAGGTCAAGTGTTTCACTGTAATGTACATTAACAGTGAAACAATCTGAATGAAACAATTTGAATGAAAAAAAAGGTGGGGAAACTTAAATTCCAGCAAAGCCCTTTACCTATTTATACAAAAAATGTGGGGAAACTTAAATTCCAGCAATAAATAATATTATTTGCCATTTACCTATTTATACAAAAAAGGTGGGGAAACTTAAATTCCAGCATTGCTCTTTACCTATTTATACAAAAAAGGTGGGGAAACTTAAATTCCAGCATTGCCCTTTACCTATTTATACAAAAAAGGTGGGGAAACTTAAATTCCAGCAAAGCCCTTTACCTATTTATACAAAAAAGGTGGGGAAACTTAAATTCCAGCAATGCCCTTTACCTATTTATACAAAAAAGGTGGGAAACTTAAATTCCAGCATTGCCCTTTACCTATTTATACAAAAAAGGTGGGAAACTTAAATTCCAGCATTGCCCTTTACCTATTTATACAAAAAAGGTGGGGAAACTTAAATTCCAGCAATGCCCTTTACCTATTTATACAAAAAAGGTGGGGAAACTTAAATTCCCAGCAATGCCCTTTACCTATTTATACAAAAAAGGTGGGAAACTTAAATTCCAGCATTGCCCTTTACCTATTTATACAAAAAAGGTGGGGAAACTTAAATTCCAGCATTGCCCTTTACCTATTTATACAAAAAAGGTGGGGAAACTTAAATTCTAGCAATGCCCTTTACCTATTTATACAAAAAAGGTGGGAAACTTAAATTCCAGCATTGCCCTTTACCTATTTATACAAAAAAGGTGGGGAAACTTAAATTCCAGCAATGCCCTTTACCTATTTATACAAAAAAGGTGGGGAAACTTAAATTCCAGCATTGCCCTTTACCTATTTATACAAAAAAGGTGGGGAAACTTAAATTCCAGCAATGCCCTTTACCTATTTATACAAAAAAGGTGGGGAAACTTAAATTCCAGCAATGCCCTTTACCTATTTATACAAAAAAGGTGGGGAAACTTAAATTCCAGCATTGCCCTTTACCTATTTATACAAAAAAGGTGGGGAAACTTAAATTCCAGCAATGCCCTTTACCTATTTATACAAAAAAGGTGGGGAAACTTAAATTCCAGCAATGCCCTTTACCTATTTATACAAAAAAAGGTGGGGAAACTTAAATTCCAGCAATGCCCTTTACCTATTTATACAAAAAAGGTGGGGAAACTTAAATTCCAGCAATGCCCTTTACCTATTTATACAAAAAAGGTGGGGAAACTTAAATTCCAGCATTGCCCTTTACCTATTTATACAAAAAAGGTGGGGAAACTTAAATTCCAGCATTGCCCTTTACCTATTTATACAAAAAAGGTGGGGAAACTTAAATTCCAGCAATGCCCTTTACCTATTTATACAAAAAAGGTGGGAAACTTAAATTCCAGCATTGCCCTTTACCTATTTATACAAAAAAGGTGGGGAAACTTAAATTCCAGCATTGCCCTTTACCTATTTATACAAAAAAGGTGGGGAAACTTAAATTCCAGCAAAGCCCTTTACCTATTTATACAAAAAAGGTGGGGAAACTTAAATTCCAGCATTACCCTTTACCTATTTATACAAAAAAGGTGGGGAAACTTAAATTCCAGCATTGCCCTTTACCTATTTATACAAAAAAGGTGGGAAACTTAAATTCCAGCATTGCCCTTTACCTATTTATACAAAAAAGGTGGGGAAACTTAAATTCCAGCAATGCCCTTTACCTATTTATACTGTCTACTTTTAAATTGTAAAAAAGTTTTAGCATTTAAGATTAAGAATACCTTGATTCAAGTTAGTCATTTGTCTACAAAGGTTTGATAGGAACCAACCTGACAGGCACTGCCACACTTTCCATAAAACCCAACAACAACAAAAAAAAACCACATAAACCAAAGGCTCCATAGCAAAACTTGACAATTAGTGGATTTCAGAATGATGGAAGGATGGCGTGACATAATGTCTGACAGACCCATGCTGTATTCCCCCTCACTGAGTGGAAACACATAAAACTGAATGAATCCTGTACTTTGTTAACTCACTTTCCAGTAAGAATATTCATAAACATGTTTCAAGTGGTTGTAAGCAAATAAATTGATAGCAAAGTCTTGTTTCTTAAACACACCCTATATTTGTAGGCAGGTGTAATAGATAACCAGATTAAAATCTGCTGTACACAATAGCTGAAAACAAATGTTTTTATAGCAATCCAGAACACAGTAATAGGGTGTGTTACATCTAAGGTTGCATTCCAAAATTTATTGATACAAAAAAAATATTAATGTATTCAATATAAACAGAGACATATAATACATATATTATATGCCTCTGAAATAATATATAACTGCCAAAATTTTTAATATATTCAAAAATAAGGAGATGTGGTATAAGACTGAGAACAGTTTTCAAACATTTTTGATTTATTCACAACTTTCAGCCCAATATTGTGAATGAGATAATATTACATATATATCATAAATTATGCCAATTGTATGTTAATTTTATATATTTTTAAAAAAGATGACCTCGATATTTCTGAATAAAATTTTACTTTTTTAAAACTTTTATGCAACATTCCATAAATTATCTAAAAATAGTACCTTTGATTTAGAAAATGCTCACATATAAAAACTTTTTAAGGTGGTCTTTTCTTCTAGCATTCTTTCATAAGAAATAAACCTAAATTTTTTGGTAATATACATTTTTGATAGCAGCTGGAAACATAGCACAAGGTGATAAATAGTTTTCCATGTCAATAACTTTATTATATAATTAGATGCATTGATATTAGGCCTATGTTGTCATGGTCCAGTGATAAATTACACTTTAAGGTCAAATTCATAACACTCTAGGTCATATCAAATTTTTTTTCTTATAATGAAAAACTTATCATATTTTACCAACTCAAAGATAAAAATCTATATTCTATATGACTCAATTATCTGATTTTTGATTATGTATGAAATATTAAAAGGACTTCAAAAAGTTTGATCCTAACTTAACCTTGAATGATTTTTCCAGACATTACCATAAACCCAACATGACACAACCATAAACCTACTTTCATTTAAAATATTTCTCTTTTAATGAAGCATAATGTGGAAAATATTTTTTCAAGCAAAGAAAAATTGAATGTTTCAAGGGACATAACTCTACACAACCTAAAATGTTGTTTGGTGTAAACTGAATGTCTTTCTCCAAACACCCAATGACAGGAAATAATAGATACTAAGGCACATATCAATGCTCAGTGAGTTAAAATCTGAGTCAAAACCATAATTTGACATAAATTTAAATAAGTGCACATCATAATGCACCAAGTTTTAAGTTGATTTTCATCGTAAATTACTTTAAATTAAAATTCTAACCAGAATAGTTAAAGGACACATGTCAGTAACTGCTAGTAGTCCTTTGTTAATTTATGTATCATCGTCATTTTGCTGACTTTCTTTTGTTACCTATTTTGACATCGGACTTGGACTTCTTTTAAACTGAGTTTTACTGTGTGTATCGCTGTGTGTTTCTTAGGGGGAGGGTTGAGATCTCACAAAACATGTTTAACCCTGCTGCATTTTTGTGCCTGTCCCAAGTCAGGAGCCTCTGGCCTTTGTTATTCTTGTATGTTTTTTTAATTTAAGTTCATTTATATGTTTTGGAGTTTAGTATGACGTCCATTTTCACTGAACTAGTACACATTTTTATTTAGGGGCCACATTTATGCTAAGGACCACCTCCAGGTGCGTGATTTTCTCGCTGCGTTGAAGACCCATTGGTGGCCTTCGGCTGCTCTTTGGCCAGGTTGTTGTCTCTTTGACATATCCCCCATTTCCATTCTCAATTTTACACTTACAAGTGGAAACAGAAACCAGAGTGGAAAATATTATACAAGATGTCCCAACCCCCTTACTTTCATATGTGGAGCATAAACATCTGCAAAACATAATTTATTTTGCAGGACTGTAAAATTGTTGACAGTATACACATTCTACACAAGACTGATTCCTTGGCACATCATAGCTGTTACTTACCTATCTGTGAAGCAGAACTGTCCCAGGTCTTTAATACATCTTCAAACTAAAATCAAAAAACAAAGACAGTCAAAATATATTTTTAAACCCTTAACATTATTTTTCTTAGTAATTATATATAGTTTCAAAGTATCAAATGTTCTCAGGTTTGTATTAAACCATTAAACATTAACAAAATCTATGTTTAGATTGTCTGAAGAAAAGACAATTGGAAATTGTCTGCTGTTGATAACAAAATGCTGATATAAGCAATGACCCCATCTGCTGCCAAATTGCAATATCCAGCACAGAGTTAATATCCGTTCAGTTCTATACTACGTAACAATACACGTCATATTAAGTGGAGTATTGCTGAGCAAGTAAGGAACGGAGATGAACTGTGAGCATAAGATTTGTCTAATTGTTACTTCCTAATTTTTGTAATTATCAAATTGGTTACACGTACTACATGTCAGGGCCATTGCTTGGAAGGGGCATTAAAAGCAGGTAAACTACCCACTATTTTATGTGATATAACTTAAATTAGATAAATGGAGAATGTGTCCATGGGACAGAGATGATGCCCTCGCTTGCATATAGCATTATAAAGGGACATAACTAGAGAACTGTAAAAGTGACGCCACCCAAATTCGAACTTGATCTGTGTTTTATGGTAATAAGCATAGTGTATAAGTTTCATAACATTTGGTCAAGGGAAACTTAAGTTAGAGAACGGAAACCCATTCTTGGATGTACGGACGGATGTACAGACAAGGGTAAACCTTAATGCCCCTCCGTCACAGCGGGGACATAAAAATATTATACAGCACTTAGAAAAAATGTTATGGACTGAAATGGTACCATCATATCGCTAAAATGGTTTTACAACAGATGACTGGGAGCTCAAAAGATATAAAGTAAGTAAAACAGGTAATACACAGACCCAAATGCAAATTATATTTAACCTAAAAGTTAAAAAGAATCCTTAAAATAAGACGGTAATTAAGAGTTACATGAATCATTAAGTTTAACAAGACAATAACCAGTCATATCAAATAACACAACTGATATTTTTTATGGTTTACTTTTCTGGTTAAAAGGGTTTTATAAATACAAAACTAGGTTAATCAGCTTTGATAAAGCCATTTAAATTCAAATTGAGAAATTAAAGATACATATTTTTGACTGGTAAAATGTCTTTATGTGATCCAGTGTTAAATTGTTAGTGTCTTAAATGTCATGATAGACCTTAAGAAGTAAACTTCAGGTAAATATTTCTTTCATCATTTTAATTGATGAAAGGCAAGTGGGAAATATTACATGCATATTCAGGACAAAAAATATAAATGTGATCTGTTTCTGCTTTGGTAGGTATTAAACCAAAAATGTCCTGCCAATTTCAACAGGCAATAAAGGTCTGTCAACAGTGTCCTTACTTTCAGTATTTCTAGCAAAGACTGACTCATTTAGAACATTTTCCTCATTCATACATCATCTCTGGCACCAAAGTTTGACCAGCATTCAGATTTGTCAAAAAGAATTATTGCAGAGCTGTTATAATTAGGGAAAATGTGTTTTATTACATCAAAGAGTTTGTTGCCCTCAGAAAGTTCAAGTAAATTATTCCATGAATAGGATACTCTTTGTCATACAAAACAGGCATTATCCAGAAGGAAGAGTTACACTGTAAAAATTTAACTCACAATACTTCTATAATTAAAGTAAAAAAAAAAAAAAATAACAATTCCTTAAATTTCTTACACTAATATGTTGTCAGAATTATTTGAAGTAGTTGTGGTTAAGTTCAATGTAGTATAGAACAATCTACTATAGGACAATTATCATGTTCAAGGTTTGTTGACATAAACCTTGTCTATATCTGATAGTGTAATTAGCACAAAATCACTTTCTTTGTATACCATAGTTATTTCCAGACAAATCTACCAAATTATCTTAGGGATTCCATTTCAAGCATTTCACAACATGAAGCACAGGGTACTTTTACCCTTGTAAACAAGAGAATGATAAAACCTGAGTAAAGGCCATTCCATTTATGGAGTTCAAAGAAAACATAGAAAAGGGCTTTTCTAAAAATTGGAAAAGTACCATTCCACTACAAAGATAATGACACTCCTGTCATCTAGACATTATCATTATGAATAAAAGGATATGTTGGGTATACATCAATGAAATAAAATCTAACCATACAACAAAACCAAAACAAGACATCTAATATTCAAATAAAACTGTTGTCATCAACATGATCAATAGTCAAATGTCTAAACTCTACATCGACAAAGTCTACACAATTATGAATGAATTTAACAGGGATTATAAGTAAACACACACAAAAAAAAGTTTCCTAAACCACAACAAACAAAAAACCAACCATTGAGACAACCAATGACAATTAAGGTTCATGACTTGACACAGTCTCATTTACATGTCACAGGATATTTTTAGTACTCAACCCTCCCTTTTTTCATCTTGATCGGTGAATTACAAAAAGTATATACAAGAACAATTTAAAGCAGTTGAATAAAATTACTTAACTCTATAAAATGTGAAATACAGAAAACAAAAACACAAGTACAAGTAAAACAATATCAAATAATACTGTGTCAAAGAATCTTATAGTAAGATTTGGGTAGGTATTTATAAAATAACATTTGGAATATTGCAGGAAAAAGGGGGAGATGTAAAGACACAAACTAACAGTCCACAACAACAATGTGTCCATAGTACAAGGATGCCCCACTCACACTATCATTTTCTTTGTTCAGATGACCGGAAATTGGGGTAAAAACTCTAATTTGGCATTAAAATTAGAAAAATCGTATCATAGGGAACATGTGTACTAAGTTTCAAGTTGATTGGACTTCAACTTCATCAAAAACTACCTTGACCAAAAACTTTAACCTGAAGCAGGACAGACAGATGGACATACGGATGAACGGGCGGACGAACGGATGCACAAACGGAAAAACCATAATGCCCCTAGGTGGAGCATAAAAAACTACAGTCCAACCAAAATCTTTCACAAAAATGATCGTAAGTTATACTGAAATGTTCATAAATTACAATTATTTTGCCTCGTAGGAATTTATTTGTGAAATAAGAAATACCAGCAGTTCCTGTCCCGTTAGTGACACCCATGGAGTTACTTCTCATCATCTTTTATTCAAAATAATCTAGACTGCCACAAAATGAATGAAGTCTGAACAGTCTGAATGTAATTTAGGCATTACTCAAGAAAAAGCATATATACATCACTATTGAAGTAAAGAGAGAAATGGGTAGTTTAAAAATCATTGAAAGGTTCTTTTTATTTTTAGGGGGGATTAAAAGTTTTGCAGTGACCATTAAATAAACAAAACAGCAGCAGACATCAACTGATATTCTAACTTAAGATATATTTTTTCCCACAAAAAAACATAATGAGACTGCAAAATGCTGTGATACCTTCTTAATTTGTAAGATATCCTTCTTTTTGAAGACTGCAAAAAATATATTTGATTTCAAAGATCAAAATAATGAGCTCAAGTTCAACATTCCCCATTCTTCATTTTCATTTAAATGATGAAAAACAATTAAATTGCAAAGTAATCTTCTCTGTCATAACCTTGTAAGCTTGGGAAAAATGTCTTTTATGGAAGTAAAAGGATATTTTGGCCATAAACGTTGGAAATCTATCCTGTCATAAAAGTTGACAATAAATTATAAAATGATATAAGAATTATTTACACACCTGCATCAGGTATACACATTAAAGTTTGTAGAAATCTGACAATCAATGCATGGGTATACAATTGATTTCTTTTCTTTATAAGGCAAGGAGAAAAATGAGGATATGGGGTCAATATTCATCAGAAAATATCATATAATACACTTTTGTAAAAATCCTAAAGAAAAGAAAGAGGCATAACAATACTTTAAATAACCAGGAAGTCTAGCAGGAAGTCTAGATAGAAGGATTACCAGTCACTCCGGTGATGGTGGGGGCATAAAAATGTTGAGAAAATAAAGAGGTGTATTTAACAGCCAAGACAACTAAAGACAGACCAATGGAGATGCATACATATACATGAATAACAACAGAAGATAAATGAGAACAAATACTAAATATAAAAGCTTAAACCAGAATAACCCAGCTCCTGAAGTGTTATGATATCACACATAGCATGTCCTGCTTACACTACCTAATTTTGTCTGATTTGTCCTAGCTGGTTCTTCATGTCATCTTGAGGAATTCTGCATGATAGTAAAGATAATGAAGCAAAAGTGAGTAAGTCCACAACATGTCCTTTTTGTAGCTTATCATAGGATGTAGTTAAGTGTTGTGTACAAACCAACAAATTAAGGAACATCTAATGCAAATATAGTGTCGTCATACAACATATAGCACCAATAAAAACTGACCGCCATGATAAAGCCAATAGTACTGAATGTGGTGTTAAACACCAAGATTTTAATCAATCAATCCAACAAAGAGGAACAGCAAAACAAAACAAAACCATGTACAACCAAACCACAAGGAACTGTTAAATACAAAATAGTCAACAACTAAATTTAGAAATAGTCAAATCCCATAATAATTGTATGGTAACATTCAGTCATTTCCCATTATGTTTAGATACAAACAATCTGAAAACAGCAAAACCTATAAACTTAACAAAGAATTAGGAACTACTAAGTTTCAATTGGACGCTGGAACAGTAAACCTAAAAGAACAGTTAAATCATAAGATGGTGCACATGGATCCAAACTAGAAGAAAAAAGAGATTGTTGAAGACTGGAAACAGAAAAGCAATAAAAAAAAAACTATTAGAAACCAAATTACATACAAATAAAGGTAATAAAATCAAACCATTTTAAGGAAATTATATAGCTTTCATCTTTTTTTATCTTCCACAGTTAATATTAAAAATGATGGCTGGTCATACTTTTCATTAAAATGTAGTGAGTATTTTTAACAAATTTGTGTTGTAGGGTGACTGTGTGATTGACATTTTCCCAATTTCCCTTTAATTAAAGTGGTCCTAGGTCGAATTCTACAGCATGTTAAAACAGCTAGTAACTGTCAAGTGTAATAATACTGATCATATTTCCAGCAGTGTAAATCAGTCCTGTAAAACTTTATGTTAAGCTTAAGATGTAACAGTAGAGAGTAATTATAGGGGCATTGTGGCATTGTCAGTAAATAAAGTAAATAAGAAAGTGTGTCTTTTGTCACTGTACCCTTAGCTTGTGTGTCTTTTGTCACTGTACCCTTAGCTTGTGTGTCTTTTGTCACTGTACCCTTAGCTTGTGTGTCTTTTGTCACTGTACCCTTAGCTTGTGTGTCTTGTAACGATCAAAATTATTTGACCAAAAAAATATCATCCTTATTCTCTCTAGCACTTGTTGTTACAACTAGATAAATAATTATCAGAAATACCTCACATTATATAGCTTTTTTGCACTGATGTGGTGTAGAGCAAACATCAATCAATCAATCAGAAAATACAGATTTTTCAGTCTATTTTCAAAATCATTCATCTGACTTTGAAATTATAAATTCCCTTGCTTAAAGTTGTACTTGCTAATAGCAATGAGGAGGTCAGGATTTACTGCTAATAATCTGTTTTTATTTGCTAAAATTAATTATGAAACTTCTGAAGATCTTTCTACATGTTGTAACATTTACTTGTCATCAAATTTGACTGTAAGGCTGAATATGTTTGTACCAGTATATTTCAACTACTTGAACATAAAAGACAAAAATCAATTGATGTATTTTAGATTATAAACTGTTTTTCTATTTCTCAGACATGATCTCTACTCAGAGGCTCTCTATTACTGAGAACCCCAACTATTTGAAAGAATGAGTAATAACTTAACTCTCCAAATTATAATTACAGTTTTAAAATACTGCTACTGAAATCAAGTTTAAAATAAGTGCTACTGAAATCAATGGAGTTCTAAAAAATGATTATGACAAAACCTTCACATTTACACATATAAAGTCATGTATGCTAGTGCACAGTAACTGCATAATATATCTTTCCCTGAAGCTATATAAAAGAAAATTGAATTAATTTTCAGTGTTGTAATTTCATTTATATATTAAAATTGTATTACTGCAGTATATATTCCTACCTTGAAAGATCAAGCATGAAAATCCACAAATTCAAAATTAATAAAAAATATTTTTGATTTTATGATCACTGTTTAGACACATTAAAGTAAACTACTACGGTGTGAGTTGCAATGAAAATCATCAGTACCGCTGTGTATTATATCTGGTTCACCAAACACTGTGCTCCAAATCACATGACCGAATACAAATTTAGAATAAACTGAGAAGTGGTCAACTTTTTAAATGCAAGGTGTGAAAATCTGCCTTTCTTCAATATATTGGTAACTATTAAAATGTAATCAATCGATCGGATTAAATTGAATATAAGTAAAATGAGTCATTCCATCAAATGCAATTAATAAATTCCGTCTAGTTGTGAATTAAAGTTCTCCGACATGAAAAGTATTCAACAAACAAAATTTGGGTTTTGTATTGTGACAGCGGGACAATGGCCATCTCAACACCCGCGACAGATAAAAAGACAAAATACCGCTATATCTACTTTATCTTGCATTCAGTATGAGAATTAAAGCGAAAAAATCTTTGGTTAAATAAAAGTGTGTGTATTCCTTTGAAAAGGACCAGCTTTAAATCTATTCAGATTAAATTGTCCTTTGGAATTTAATGATATATTTGTCTAAATTTCTTAGGCTATTGTGACATTGTCAAAAAAAATGGTCACTTGTCTGAGGGCTACAGATTTCTTCTAATGATATACCAAAGTACTGCAATTTATGCAAGTGCACATTTTTTTGCAAAAAGAATTTTTTAATTGATGACATTTTCCTGACAAGTTTCCTTGATATGACATGATAAATCTAATACTTCTGATTGAAAAATAAGGTATATGACAACCAATATGAAGCAATTTATAAAAGTGTACTTTGAGAGATACAGTAAAACTTGTAACTGCGTCAATGCTTTTTTTGTTCAAAATATTGATAAATTTATATCCATATAAATATGGATCAATATGTCAAGCTCTAAATCATATCAAGTCTATAAAAGATAAGAAACATTCAAAGATCTGTCATTCTAACTCTTACCCTATTCTCAAAATAGCAAAAAACATTAAGATATGACATACGTCAACTAATGATGAGGTTCTTGCTGCATGGTTAAACCAGTTTTTGGAGATCTCAAACTCTCCCTTTTTAATTATTGTTTTGTTTGTTTGATGGGATTAACACCATTTTTGGTCATAAACAAGCTTCTGTCCAAATTTCCTTAAATTCCATGAAAGTCTGACAAAGTTATTGATGTCTTAAAAAAACCTTTACCACAGACTGAACCTTAATGCTGACACCGTTGCCGACAACGGAATCTAGGATCAATATGTCTTGCTTTAGTGACATAAATGTCTCAGGCTTGACAAAAATCCTCAATAATATAAAAGTTTTTATTGTAACTTAGGTTACAAGGTATATCATATAAGACACTTTTCTGAAAGTAGTAATACATCTAAAAGATACAAGAAAAGTTTTACCCCCAAACTATGAATAAAACTGTTCAAACTTTATAATTTTTCAGCCCTGCATTTACTGTCTCCTGACTTACTTATGTTCAGTCGATTAAAATCATATTAAATCTTCTGATCTTTTCAGGTACAAAGTCATGTTACATGCTGAGGTAAATGTCCATGAAATTTTACGAACATATTCATTGAAATATCTGTGAATGGTCATCATATTAAATCAGTATATATTAATTTCAATAAATTTTCATGGACAAATAAAATTATGACAAGACATCGGTCAAATAAAATAATTTATAGTAATAGATTTCAGGTCTTTTGTTTGGGAATTCAATGTTCATTTTATGGTCAGCATTATACACTTTTCACACCTGCAAGTGTCCATTTCAATATGGAAACTTAATCTGCTTCGCATCATGACCACGCCAAAAGCTGACGATTCACGGAGAGATGTAATTTTGAATAACCACGGTAACAATTTTAATACTGTCACACTTGACACTGATAGTAATAATTAAAATTCACAAGTTTTATTGAAAAGTTTTAATTTGACATGGGGATAAAAACTTTCCTTGACTTTCTGATGACCTTCCACCAATATTGTTGACTTTTCAAGAAATGATTAGGCAACCAAGTGTGAGTTCCATTAACATGTACAAATTTGTTATTGATAATCAAATGTCTGGACACCTGATCAAAATAATAAACTTGTTTACATAGAGGGAAGTCCCAAAAAGTCCTCAAATGACCCCAGTGCCGATAGCAGTTTTGTCATAAAAACAGTAATATATGATTATATTTTTATTAGAGGACAAGGTCCTTTAAGGTAAAGCTTTCAGAGTTTGAAATATTAGACCGAATTTGACCAATACAATGACATCTTTTCTTGTTTGCACTAGGGCATTAAAGTGCAGCAAGTTTGAAGCAAAAGCACATCCAATATCTTTCCTATTAGATAACAAAAGGGAGACAATTTAACAATATTGTATGAAATGATATCAAATTAAAAAAGCTGAGCTTCTTAATAACAATATACTTCCAAGTCAATACTTCTTTTGACCATTTTTTTTTTCATCATTTACTACTTACTAAAAAAAATAGGTGCTTAAAATTTTAAGATAATTAAAGGAGATGTGACATGATTTTTTTTTTTTTTTTTTTTTTGAAATAAATATTTATTTATACATAATTATCCCCAAAAAAACATCGAAAGCAATATAATTATCGTTTAAATGGATAAAATATGAATTTAAATGTATCGATCTCTCGACATACTAATTATGCATATTTCAATCCCGGAAGTCACTCAGAACGAGGCTGTGACGTCAGTGGTTTCATCAATCATATTTGACTGACGGGTGTATAGGCATAATTAGCGCAATTTCATTTTCGAATATCTTCCAACAAAACCCATGACAGTGATTAAAAATGGTTCTGTGTGCTGCCAGTGGATGCAACAATAGGCATAAGAAGGACAGTTTAATTAGTTTTTTCCGTTTTCCGAGTAACCCGCAAACCAGGAAGGCGTGGACACACTATTGTAAAAGATGGGACTTCCTACCAAGCACTGGTCATAGACTTTGTTCCGCCCACTTTACAAATGCATGTTACGATCGTGACCCAGAAGTTCTGAAGAATCTCGAGGGCTGTCCTACCATGAAGCCAAAACTCCGTCCAAATGCGGTACCTGACATTCCATTGACACAACCAACAACAGCTGAGCCAAGGCCACCTATACCTAAGTGGGGAGCTTATGAGAAGCGGAGAAAGGCTGACGTAAATATTTTTTTTTTATCTTCGCAAATATTTTTTTGCGTCCCTTTTTAATAATATTATTTTTTATAGTTTCGTCATATTTGTGTATAGCCCAATATATCTCAGTGTTTAAAGTTTTGTATCGTGTACCTCCTTAGTGTACCTCACTACCTGTTCACGTGTGCAGGTGTGTACACTGAAATTGGACATACATCCATAAACATCGATCAGAAGTTACAGGTATGCGGCACACTTTATCCGCAATGCTGGGTTACCTTTTGAAGTTGAAAGCTACAGGTGTCATGCCCCCAGGTGATGATAGATAAGACATAGGTAATACGCAATATTGCGTAATATGCGTCGAATCTGTGTACATCCATGATCACCTGCTGGGTGCACAGGAAGGTTGGAAAATAGACTAGAGCAAATGTTACAGACATAAGTTACGCAATGCATATCTGTTTTACCTGTTGGAATAAACAATACCCGACTGTCGGTTATGGGGTTTTACAGAATAGAGAAAAAAGGACTGACTAAAAAGGGGGGGATAGGAAATAATGGGTTGCTGGATTTACTTTGTAAAGAATGGAGTATAATAAGCAAAATGAATAGACAATAAAGAAGAAATGTTTTTAAAGTAAGAAAAGAATTAAAGAAAAACTGGAAAATTAAAAATGTAAATGCCTGTCAGGCTTCCTAACTAAAACATAACCTGCAGTAGGTACATAGATTCTAATAAAAATTAGGCATGTATAAAAGGTGTATTGCAATTAAGTTTTTTATTATTTACCCTTATTATTTTATTTATTTATGGAAAATCATTTCATTTCTTTATAAAAAATAAATGTGAAGAGATGCCAAGTCATACTATCAAAATGATAGACCATTGATGCAAGGTTATTGAGGTGAAATATGCAAAAGGTGACTTGAATGAAAAACAAATATTTTGGCTAGTGTATGTATGCAAGCCTTTATATTGCATAAGACATGAAGCTGAATAATATAGTTTTAACTTAAATAATGGAAATAAATCCAATTGATACAGACCTGGGAGTAGTAGATAATGTATAAGTATAGACTGAAGATATACACATTATAACAAATATCACAACAACAAAAATCAGTACTCCTAGAACATTTTCAATGGGATGATTATGGAGGAGACAAATACATGAATATATTTTACTGTTCCAAAACTTCTTTAGATATTACTTTTAATACTTCCCCTGTTATGTCATACTTATTACACATGTATTGGGGGCTGCTTCAGTAATTCAAATTTCACACCCAACATACTTGGTTAGGTGATAGGTAATTTATTACCTCTCTTTTTGTCTTATTTAATGTAATTCAATTACCTGTTAAACTCAAACATTTTTAAGAAATATATCTTGATTTATAGTGAAATAATTGTTATAGTACTGATATATTTCTACACAGATCTCTATATATGCATTCTAAATTTTAAAATGTGCATTATATTTCATATTGTGTTTATACGTGTATGTATGTGGTGCGACTATAATAAACTATAATAAACTTTTGAACTTGAACGCTACATTTAGCAAACTAACTAATTTAAATTATTAAATTAATATCTAAGAACCAATTTATTAGTGGTAAATTTGATTGCTAATCAGACAACTATCCATGAAAGCTCAAATAAAATGGAGTTAAGAAGTTAGGTATATTTCTCTATGTTTTTGATTTCATTATAATTGTAATTTAAGACCACATAATTATTCAGAAATGCAATTGACCATTGTTTGACCCAAGACGTTCACTTGTATTTATATGTCTTAATTAATTATCACAGTAATTAAAGTTCTGTAAAACTAAATTAACAACAAACATTTATTCTTTGCAGATCCTACAGCTTGCATATTGCTTGAAAGATCGTCAATGTCGGACTCTTCGGATGACGAATTTATATCTTCTACTTGATTATTTTCAACAAGTAACGGCTCAAACTGATACGATCGAATATCTAAAGTTTGAGAGTTGTCTTGAAAACTGCTGTCAACACCGTCCATTGTTTAATTATGCAGAAATGTGATCGACTTCGTCAATATTGAGACATTTTCTCAGCTTGTATCCACTGACGTCATCACGATCACGTGACCGGTATCTAATTAAAAATCAAAGATTACGACAAGCGCTGGATTATTTGACCATAAAAAGGCCGTTTAATGAGGTTTTGCCAAGAAAAATTTATTAAAATATGTTTTTTGACCAATATTAATTAATTAAAAAAAAAAAAAAAAAAAAAATTGTGTCACGTCTCCTTTAAGAGATTGTGCATGGTAATTTTAAGAAATTTTATATTTTTACAAGTCTGACTAAATTGTCAACTGTTCTTGCACTTTCACATAATGATTGGCAGCTATGACTAATAATGTTTGCCTTGAAATTCTTTAAATTGCGCATTATATTTTTATCTTTTTTTATATTTTGAGTACCTGACTGATATAAGATCAAAGCATGCTGTTATATGAAACATTTAGTTGAAATACTATCTATTTATTATGCAAAAAACTAAATTAATATTTACTTTATAAAAATATCCTTGTAATTTTACAAGATAATTGTGCAAACAAATCATTTAATTATACTTGTCGGCTGACTTGATTAATGTCTGCTCATGGTAATACTAGTCTTAATAGAATTATCATTATAAAGATTACCGGAACAAAGGACAAATATTTCTGTCCATTCAAGACTTATAGGCCCCTGACCCCAATGGTTGTGTTGATGACCAGAGAATGTACCGAGAAATCTTGGTAGTAATTGTTCAAAATAATTGGCATGAATTGTCAACTTCATAATTTTCTGATATTTTACAAGAATTATTTTCTCATCTGTTATGGTATATTAAACAAGTTGAGTGACAGCAAATTTGTCAATAACCTAATAAATTACAAAATTGTTGGATATCTGTTGGAAAAGAATACTTAAAAGTCAACCTATACTTCGTGAAGCTATATTTTATAGGTATAATACCTTCAAATCTACTTCAAACAACGATACTAAAATTAATAATTACAAAAAATAATATTTATATTTTGTGAACATTTGTGGGATAAACTGTATAAATGTACATGTAGTTGTAATCTGATTTAATTATGTTTTCTAGGTCAAGATTTTCGGTCTAATAATGATTTAAATTAGTTTTAATTCTTTTAGCTCCAGCATCTTACATTACCTTACTATATTACCCCCAAAAGTGACAGGTTCATCTGGGTTATTTCATTAAAGGTTCCATTTCACTATTTAAATATGTACTATTTGTACACAACAGTGCACATTTAATAACTATAGGAAGTATGATGCATGTAGATTTCTTTTTCAACAAAAGTCGGAAGATTTTTGTGGTTGTCAAAATTAATGTCACCATTTGAACTTTGTACTTTAGCTAATCATTTGGTTTTCCTTTTAATAAGTCTTAATATATGTGGTTCACTTTTTGGTTATTTTTTGTCAAAAAGTGTATCAAATCATTGTTAGAGAATGGTTGATATAGAGGATTAGCTTTCAATCCTATAATGAACCTTTGTTTGAGAAATATACAATTTTTTTCTTAATTCTTTTGGCGGAAATGATAGTTGTATTATTCAACATGAATATAGGAAATTATAAACCAAAATAAATGATTAAGCATTTTCTAAGGTTTAAGTTTTACTTTATTAGAAAACTTTCTTATTTCTGTTTAACAAATACTTATTTGTTTCATCCGATTTTAAACAGTAAATATTATATTTATTCTTAGGGTAACATAATCATATCGGTAACTAAAAAGGTTATTGGAGTCTGAAAAAAATATTTGTGTTGAAATCAAATATACTTAAAAAAACAGTATAGAATTTAAAATATTTCTGACATAATTGTTACAAAAATATATAGTCTCAAACTAGTTATTTAATTGTTTAATTCAATGATTTTTATTTTTAATTTCTAATGGTATTATTCTTCAAATGCAAAAAGATTTTTTTATTTCTTTACATCAAATAAAACTGTGCATAAAATTTATAAGTCCTAACATTTGTTGTTTTAAAACACTTGCAACAACTGGAAAGTACTGCAGTTTTTCTTTTAATAATAATAATGCATCATTTAAAAAAAAAAAGAAAAAAAGAGTTTTAAAGTTTCCAAGGTTTGAGTTCAATGATGACCTTTTTCTTGACACTAACTTTATGTTTGGATAGTTAAAAAAAATATTTTGGTTCCACAAAAAAAGTTATAAAATATATGCTCTATTATATCCTTACAACAATAATATGATTGATGAGTGTTTATTCTTATTACTTGGTTATTGGACATACCAAGTATTTTTTCGAGAGCAAAAAATATTGGGGGAAATGACATTTAGTTCTCTTTTAATATTTTTAGTGACTGATTTTATTGTCTGATCTGATTAAAAACAAATTATATCATAAAAATAAAAGTGCAATAAACTGTATATGTATCAAATATGAATATTCATGAAAATTTTAATAATAGAGAGTTCAAATGTTAGTTGAAAACTCATCAATATCAGTCCCTAGGAAAACTTATCATTACAAATAATCAAATAATAGCTCATTTTGATGATAAAAATCTGAAATGTTTTTAAATTTCTGTTTAAATTAAGTCAATTTTTTCTTAAGATAGGTTTTTAAGATATACAATCGAACTGTAACATATTCAAAAGGTCAGTATTAAACTAGTACTTGTAAATTAGAGATTTTACTGTGTTATAAGCTAGATGAAAAAATTCGTAAGGGTTCCGCGGAACCCAGTGTCTCGCCTACTTTTGCTGTTAATCGCAGGCTCAACAAAAATGAGATGAGGAAAAAATTTAATAAAAATATTCCTCTTGATACAATTTTTTTATTGTAAGAAGCTTTGGTAAAGTTTGGTAAAAATCCAGGATAGTTTATGAATCTAATAAATGTTTTAAAAACTTTAACTGCAGACTGTATGTAATGTTAACTGGAAGAAAAACTAAGTCCATTTATAAGTAATATACAGAAAAACAGGAAATTTTTTTTACAAAATTTCCTTCTAGATACTAGCTTTTGATCATAAACAAGCTTCTGTCCATGTTTGGTACAAATCCAGGATAGTTTAAGAAAGTTATTAAAATTTTAAAAACTTTAACCACAGAGTGAATGTAATGTTTCCTGGCAGAAAAACTAAGTCCATTTATAAGTAAAATACAGAAAAACAGGATTTTTTTTTTTAAATTTACTTCTGGATACTATCTTATGATCATAAACAAGCTTCTGTCCAAGTTTGGTAGAAATCCAGAATAGTTTAAGAAAGTTATTAAAATTTCAAAAACTTTAACCACAGAGTGAATATTTGTGGACGCCGCCGCCGACGACGCCGACGGAATGTAGGATTGCTATGTCTCGCTTTTTCAACAAAAGTCGAAGGCTCGACAAAAAGGGAATATGACAATAGGACAGAAACCCAATGACACAAAAAAAATCAAAAGATATGTAAGGTCTTATTTTTAATGATTTTTCCAAGAAATGAGTTGAGAAAATGGATATTTTCAAAGTTTAAGAACTAAAGAAACAAATCTTTAGACAGATCACAATACGTCACTTGTTGTAGGCAAAATTTCTGACCCTACCCAATACACAATTATTTTCAAGAGGTAGTTTTAATTATCCACATCTTTTATTAAAAACAGTCCAAATGCTATTTAGACTGGTACATTTCTGTTGCTGTTGGTCTATTCAAGTCCTTGTCATATCAGGAATATCAATTGTCAAATAGCAAAAGGTCAATTTGTTGATTGGTCAATTTGCTCTTTTGGGCTTCAAATATTTGTCACTCGACATTAACCAATTAACAACCAATCAATCAACCATAAAGCAACTGACACTGGTCCAACAGTCAATCAATCAACCATAAAGCAACCAACACTGGTCCAACAGTCAATCAATCCACTGGTCCAACAGTCAATCAATCAACCATAAAACAACCAACACTGGTCCAACAGTCAATCAATCCACTGGTACAACAGTCAATCAATCCACTGGTCCAACAGTCAATCAATCAACCATAAAACAACCAACACTGGTCCAACAGTCAATCAATCAACCATAAAGCAACCAACACTGGTCCAACAGTCAATCAATAATTAAGAAAGGTTTTATGAAGAACAGATTTTTTTTTCTTCGATCTAACTTTAAAATTTAATAGTGTGTTAATTCACTAAGGAATTATGGTAAAATAAACAAAGAACCACCAGTTGCTTTTGCTATTGGAGCCAAGTATACATGGCAAATCATAAAACATCAAACAAACCACCCATATCTATAAATATAATATCTTATTTAACCATGACCACCTGATTTTCACACTTTCAGGGTTAAGGGACCAAATCTACCAGATATAGACAAGCTAAATGTATCATCACTAAATACCTTTGTTGCAACCCTTTTACTCATTCAAAATGATCTGCCCCTTACTTACTTGGGTGTTCACTGTTTACAATAGATTCATATATGATATGAATTCAACCATTGTACAATTTATACATGTGTATATCTATAAAGTATTTTCTGTTGTGTGTTTGTGTATGTATAAAGGATGTGGATGGAGTACTTACTTTAGAAGTTAACATGGCACTGATGGAGAGTATGTATGTATAAAGGATGTGGATGGAGTACTTACTTTAGAAGTTAACATGGCACTGATGGAGAGTATGTATGTATAAAGGATGTGGATGGGGTACTTACTTTAGAAGTTAACATGGCACTGATGGAGAGTATGTATGTATAAAGGATGTGGATGGGGTACTTACTTTAGAAGTTAACATGGCACTGATGGAGAGTATGTATGTATAAAGGATGTGGATGGAGTACTTACTTTAGAAGTTAACATGGCACTGATGGAGAGTATGTATGTATAAAGGATGTGGATGGGGGTACTTACTTTAGAAGTTAACATGGCACTGATGGAGAGTATGTATGTATAAAGGATGTGGATGGGGGTACTTACTTTAGAAGTTAACATGGCACTGATGGAGAGTATGTATGTATAAAGGATGTGGATGGGGTACTTACTTTAGAAGTTAACATGGCACTGATGGAGAGTATGTATGTATAAAGGATGTGGATGGGGGTACTTACTTTAGAAGTTAACATGGCACTGATGGAGAGTATGTATGTATAAAGGATGTGGATGGGGGTACTTACTTTAGAAGTTAACATGGCACTGATGGAGAGTATGTTTGTATAAAGGATGTGGATGGGGGTACTTACTTTAGAAGTTAACATGGCACTGATGGAGAGTATGTATGTATAAAGGATGTGGATGGGGTACTTACTTTAGAAGTTAACATGGCACTGATGGAGAGTATGTATGTATAAAGGATGTGGATGGGGGTACTTACTTTAGAAGTTAACATGGCACTGATGGAGAGTATGTATGTATAAAGGATGTGGATGGGGGTACTTACTTTAGAAGTTAACATGGGACTGATGGAGAGTATGTATGTATAAAGGATGTGGATGGGGTACTTACTTTAGAAGTTAACATGGCACTGATGGAGAGTATGTATGTATAAAGGATGTGGATGGGGTACTTACTTTAGAAGTTAACATGGCACTGATGGAGAGTATGTATGTATAAAGGATGTGGATGGAGTACTTACTTTAGAAGTTAACATGGCACTGATGGAGAGTATGTATGTATAAAGGATGTGGATGGGGTACTTACTTTAGAAGTTAACATGGCACTGATGGAGAGTATGTATGTATAAAGGATGTGGATGGGGGTACTTACTTTAGAAGTTAACATGGCACTGATGGAGAGTATGTATGTATAAAGGATGTGGATGGAGTACTTACTTTAGAAGTTAACATGGCACTGATGGAGAGTATGTATGTATAAAGGATGTGGATGGGGGTACTTACTTTAGAAGTTAACATGGCACTGATGGAGAGTATGTATGTACAAAGGATGTGGATGGGGGTACTTACTTTAGAAGTTAACATGGCACTGATGGAGAGTATGTATGTATAAAGGATGTGGATGGGGTACTTACTTTAGAAGTTAACATGGCACTGATGGAGAGTATAGGTTCTATACCAACAAATAATACTTTGTGATCCTCTGCTGTTAAGGATGAAAATTTCCTGAAAAAATAAATATACAACCTGTAGACTGAAAAAAAAATCATACAGATTCTAAAAACTTAAAAAAGTTATAGAAAATATAGGAAAAATAATAATAAAATATATAATGATAACATTTACAGACTTGTAAATAAATACTGTGCATTCCTTATTATTGCTGGGGTACCAATTTTCTTGGATCATTATGAGTATTGGTGAATTATGTATTTAAGTGTTCAATGATATACATATTTCTTGTAGGTTTGTATTAAACTTTGGCAAAACCAAGTATCCACAAAAATTCTATCTTTCCACAGTAAATATGACACCTACAAACTAGAAGCTTCACAAGGTTCTTTGATCTAATCCGGAGCTGTTCTTAATCTTATCAATTTAATTCAACTTTCTCAAAACACATAAATCCATAATGATTCAAAACACAGCTTTCGTGTTTTCATAAATTCAATTTAAGAGGAGAAAACTAAAAAAAAATTATATCCCATGGGAGATAACTCTAAACTGCTTATAACTTGTAACAAATATATTTACTCTTTATAAATAAGTCTCTCTCAAAATAAACCTTTTTACAATCAGCTTAGTGTTATTAAACTTTCCAAAATTTCCATAAACACTCTAATAAAAAAAAAAAATTCTAATATTATTTGACATACTGTGCATGGGGATAAGTATTTGTCACATGCAACGTTTTCCTATATATTTCATATAAAATCATTTTTCAAAAGACAATTTGAAGGTGTTTTGTGTTTCGAATACTTATGTCCATCCACTGTATGTTTTAATAAAAATCAGAACACACATATAAAATAAAGAGATAATCAAAATTGTTTTTGAGACAGAAACACAATAAAGTTTTTTGGTAAAAAACTGAAAATCTAAATTTCATTTTATACTTTTCAACATTGAACATAAAAAAAGTCAACAGTATGTGGTCAGGCCTAAAAATATGATATTAAAACAAAAGACAAGAGAAAAATCCAGGTAACACTAGAGGAGCCAGTTTCGACAAGTATAAAACCAACAATGCCAACTTTTGTCCCCTAAACTACACATTTATTGAGAAAACATTTTTAATTTATTCAAAATACTAGTATACTTGGAGGGACAAATAAACATACACTGGGATACTATTATATTGCTTATTTTTCACCTATATAAATGTGCTACAATTCATAGTATGATAACAATCTGCAAAGCTCATTTTAAAACAAAAGTTGGCAGAGTATTCCTAAACACCATTAGTAATGTTTCATTTGGGATTTTCTCAAAGCTCTAGAAAGTAAATTCTATTTTACACTGTATACCATTGTTAACTAGAACCCACTGCAGCACTCTATTTGATAGCTGAACTCCATTTGTGAGATCCATTGGCAAGACACAGTACACCATAACAACCTAAAAACACTGTGTCCCTGTCATGTTATTCTTCTGTAGTGGGCTGTTCAGTGGATTTTAGTCAACTACCAGTCATATGATTACCTGGTAAATACCAAAGAGTGGATCTTCTGTTAACCTGGCATCAACTGAACAGACCACTAAAGAAGAATCACAAATTCAGCTATCACCGAAAAGACATGCTGCACTGGGTTCTAGTTAACAGTGGTATACAGTTTAAAATAAAAAATATTTTTTAAGTGGGATTAATATTTCATTTGATGTCAGAAAATCTAACTTGCACTATGGGAGATAACTCATACTTCCCTGTGAGAAATGCTTATAATTCATATGAATTAATAATAATAATACTTTATTTCCAAAAGAAATACAGCCTATAGGCATATAACAAAATATACATTAAATTTCAATACACACATACATGTATAAACAGTAATAGATAATATTGATATTATTATTGAATTAAGTATACCTATGTCTTGCAGGAAGATAGAAGTCAGGGCTGATATGCATAAAACCACTTAAGTTAAGATATCCAATCGTAGTACTAATTTATTGTAGGACATGTAGAAAAATCCATCCGTTCAGAACAAATCTTAACTTAAGTAGTTATAAGCAAATCAGCAGAGACATGTGGAAGGCAATGGTTAGTAGCCTTAAACAACAAGAACAAGAAGTAGTGCCCTGTTAGTACCACACACTACGGATATGTCATAAGATACCTCAGTGGTTCTCCATATGTATTCAGTATACTTCTCAGCAGACGACAATATTCCCGCTCAGTTTTCTGTAAATCATTTACCACATCATAACGTGGATCGTCTTCTGAAGAAAAAGAAAAAAAAATACCATGAACATCATCTTAAAAGCAAATTCACAATTCAACTAATAAACGATTCCCTTGTTGAATGTTATAATGTGGTACAACAGCTATTTTGACTGCCATGGATTGTGGATATAATCTCATCATTGTAAACTATGCAGTGACCTGCTGGATAATAGCAGAATTTTTTTACTTATCCCTTTAAATTCAGGAATTTTCTTCTACTGTTAATTAAATTTGTCGTATAAGCATCTTTTGCATAATGCCATTTCTGTAGTTATTGAACACCATTGTATACATAGAAAATGATTACTGTAAGTTTTCAATTTGTTAAACTATAAACACTGGCATTAAGAGCTTTGAATGGAGGTTTCATCAAGCATAGGAAATCTTAAATTGCTTTGGTTAATTTGCTGAATGTTACTTTTATTGTCCTGAATATGCATGAAATATTTGCTACTGACCATCATGGAAGTATCAATCATTTTTACAATCGAATTTTCATTTCCATACTTTTATGTAATTTTTCTGACTTTGTAAAGTTTCCATTTAAGGCATAACTTGTAGCAGTTTAATATATATATGTGTTGTTCTCAGAAACAAAATTGACATCTTCTGTTTTAAATTAGGAAATAATCTATTTATTTACTTATACTTAATTTTGCAAGGACAAATCAATTTATCTTTAGAATTAGAACAAATCTGAAACATAACAAAGATGTTACAGATATATTTTCTTGTCACTGATAGTCTTCAAACAGCTCATGACATGATTCATTGAAAGAAAACAGTTTTAATGCTCAACATGTCAAAAGAAAGCGGACAACTAATCGTTGCAGTATTGAAATATTTTTTACCACTGTTTTTCAACAATTATAATTTTCACTCTTGATTCATCATAATATTAACATTAAGTCAAATCTGTTGAATATCTGAAAAGCAATGAGTAGTTCAATGAAAATAATATGAGTTTTTAGTTTTTTTGTTTTGTTTTTTGAAAAATAATCCAATAATTCATGAGAAATATTTCAGGCTGCTGATAATGACTACCCTTATTTCACTGGAAAGTCAGTCAGTTGATAAAAAAAATGTGGGTGTCAATAAATGCCCTTATACCAATAAAAGGTGACACTTTACATCTTAATACTTGTCTATAGTTTATACGATAAAAATCAGCCTACTGGGAATATCAGGTCCACAATAAAACAGAATATGTTATCGTAAAAATGAGACTATTATAGTGAAATTATGCACACCCATTTTTTATTTACTATTCACTTGTTATACAGTCAGTTAAAATAATCCTTTGTTGAAAAAGTTTTTACTTAAAGTAAAAAACTGTAAATAAAGATTCGTACACGATAACATCGAAGATTTCTATCTATGGTATTTACTATTAAATCACTTCTTTTAACCTTATTTGCTAATCCAGCTCATGGCATTCTATTAAAACAGTATATTTCACATAGCATTGTTAACATTACAGTTCAGTAATTATGGAGATATTCTAATATTTATGTCATTACAAAAATAAAGCACAAGTACTTCTATAAAAAAAAATGTAAGACTGTGTACCAAGGACAACCAAAAATCATTCGTTAAAAGAAACAGGTATTACGATTGCCAAAAGTAATTGAAGGGCAAAAATTAATAAGGTCCTGATGGCATAGTTTTTTTCTGTTTTCTTTAAGATATGACTCTTTTACCGTAGTTATGATTTCACTAGCAATATTGTGTTACAAAAGTCATTTTTTAGAAACTTTGACCGTGACCCAAGATGTATTGACTTCAAAATCAAAGTGGATCTTCCTCTTATTATATGTGACCATATGTCCATGTATGATGCAGTATTTGATTAAGCATCTGGAAACAAATTATTTGCATAAATGTCAGACTATTTTAGAAATTTTGACCTTGACCTTGGCTGTATAGTTACCTGAAGATCAATAGGGATATTCCTCTCATTATTTATGACCATCAAGTCTAGTTCAATCAGATATAAAGTATTGGAGTTAGCATCTGGAAACAATAAATTACTGACAGACTGACTGATGGACAGATTGACTTATGGACTGATGGACATACTGACCAATACTGTTTAATCAGTGCTGTCTTATTAAAGGGGAGAAAATAAAAAGATAAATGACAGTGGATATTGATTGCAAGGTAAACTGAAATACTGTAAATTTAGAAATTATTGCCTGCATTTATCATTGCAATTTTTGAACAATGAACAAAAATGCAAAATTAATTATTGCGATTTCAGGAAATCTGCATACAGATATATGTATCAGATAACAGAATGTGAGTTCTTATTATTGCGATACGCACCAAGTCGCATTATTCGCAATAATAAAAACCTCGCAATTATTTCTGAATTTACAGTATTCTTAACCCATGAGTATTTGCTATGTCTGCACCTCAGTGCTCTTGAATTAAAACCCTAACTTAAGTTTTCTGATTCATGCACATTACCTTCTTCTTCTTGGTCATTCTGTAAACCAAGCTCTTCAAACACGTCATCTAAATCAGGATCCACACATGGCGATCCAGAGCTACCGTCCGAGTCCAAAATGGCCCTAGTAGAGGCCATAATCAGACGATAGCTATTGATTCTCTGGTCCATGGTGGCCTGAGTCAATAATTCTGCTATCCCAATTCCATCCTCACCACTCAACTGTAAAGATAATAAAAGACTGTCAAGAGAGTTCTCATATAAAGGATGTAATCCTGATATGGTACTGTATTTTTAAGTATCACTAACTGTTGCTCATTAAAATAAATGGTATCTACTAATGTTTGCTCATTTGAATTATCATACAAGAATGTGCAAATTATATACAAATGGATAAAGTTATAAATTTGAAGGAAACAACAATTCAATCAGTTAAAAGATAGATTTTCTTAACAATGAATTGATAGTCTTTGTCCTTCTCAACCTACTTCTGATATCGACTTTAGTACCTCTTATTGATGTTATCACAATAATGTTACATCCAGTCCATAGTTATATACCTTATATAATATTTTGGGAAAAAGTGATTTTCTTCAGCAATGATTTTAATTTGAGTAAAGGATGACTGTGGATTTGTTATTATTTGTGGGATGCCAATTTTTATGTATTTTGTGCATATAAAGTATACCTGCAATTTGAAATATTTCAAAAAAGGGTAAATTTTCTATAGGCTTGTAAGCAAATTTGGCAAAACCACAAAATCAAATATCTGCAAAAATACAATTTTTCCTCAATCCCCAAAAAATTGGAATCCCCAAAAATAAATGAATCCACGGTAATACAGATTGAAGAGTATCCAAAATAGAAGAATCCTTAACTTCAAGTAAACACTGGTCACCATGATCTACTTCATGGTTTAACTGTTATAATTTTCATCCATCGGTTGCACTCATACGCACTTGTACCCAAATGAGAGAGATCTACTTCATGGTTTGACTGTTATCACCTACAGTTTTCATCCATCGGTTGCACTCATACACACTGTACCCTAATGATACAGACGAATGTCCTTGCTATCATCTATTGCAATAATGTTATGATTGTCCACTGATAAACTAGCACAAACATCCACTGTTTATATACTCACTGTTAGTTAGTCCTTTCCTAAGTCAATAACAAAGTCCCTACAATGCTTTTAAGTCATCACATTTTTTCCTTTGTATAGTACATTGTATTAATGAACCAACAATGTGTATGCTTTGACCATTACAGTGAGTGAGTGAGTGCTACCCTGTCCAGAATGTCATTCTAATGAAAGCGATTCCTGATAAAACTTACTCATTAAGTTACAGTTAAGATAAAATGTCATCTTCTTCAGTATTTTTCAATTCATTGATAAGACGGTTCCCCATACTATGATATCTCCCGAATCCCACCCTCACCCCACGTCCCCATTTCAAGAAGGACATAAAGCAGTTGAAATTACTGTCAGACCTAGACTTACTTTTGATCTTGCCCAAATATTACACATAGTAGTGAAGTAAGTGTTTCCAAGTATAACATAACTATTTTGTTTTAATTTTCAACATAAATTTTGGACATACCTTTTTTTGTTTATTCAAACAGCTGAATGTTTATTGAAATGTCTACTGATATTTCAAATCAAAAGCTTTATCTAAAGTCTGTACATATACAAGACAGTACAACAAAAGCTCAGCAGATTTTTGACTAGAAGGAAAACTGTGTACACACAAATGCAGATTCCGCTTAAAAAGGTACTTCAAAATGTTTAAGATTCCAAAAAAGAAAAAAACAGGAAGCCACTAATAGTCTAAGATACTAAGGCATCTTGGCATCCACATTTCATATTTACCATCTGGAAATTGTGTCCTTTAATGTATTTTACTAAACTAATTGTCAGCTGCAACCAGTGACAGCATAGTCTTACTGAAGATAACCTTCAGAAGGAATTTCTGATGGACTTTTATAAATCAAGATGATGGAACTCATTATTTATGGCAACATAAGTAATATTTATCAATTGATTGTCCCCTGGTCATTGTATAGGGATGATGGAAGGCATTCCTTAATATTTTGGTCCATAGAAATAATGACCATCATATAGTGGTCAATGGGTCAATCATAATTCAGTTGACAACTCCACCCAATGTAATAAATGATAATTTTTGTCTATATCAGATATAAATTTATACATGTAGATAAAACAGTCACTTATATTATTGTATAGTACTGTATAACAGATTTATGCAAAAGTAACAAACCAAAAGTTAGCATGCAATAATATATCATATTGCACTAATGTAAAAACAGCTTTAAATTTAAGTGATGTCATTGCAGAGACAAAAGATTTTTTAAAAAGTTTTTCAAGCTTTGCTGAATTACAATAAAAAGGTTTAATTGCAGGAATATTGGTAAATATTATCCCTCATAAAATATATATTGCACTCACAAGTTAGTGCAATCAAACAATCTACTCTAAACAATATTCACTTATATCAATGCATTATCTATTTATTATCAAAATGAAAGAGGAAAAGGTTATTTCATACACTTCATTTTGTACCTTGTTTTTTCAGAAGATAAAACATTATTATACACATCATGGGGTAAGAGTTACCTGACAGCAAATTCAGATACTTATGACAATAAAGACAAAGGACAAATTAATTATTTTCAACCTTTGAAACTGTCTCAGTGCTACAACCAAGAAGTCACTGATCTACAGAAGTCAGAATTACTTAGATATAAATAAATCCATTCAAAATCTGTGCCTTCTTTTCATTTAATTTACACTGTTATTCAAACAAGTCATAAAAAAACAATCATTTCCAACTTAAACTAGACAAAGCATTTGTTAAAGTAACTTCATACCATATTCATTTAAGCACAAAATTTAACAGTATCTGGCAATGTTTGCTTTTTGCATATCATAAATCTTTAAATGTACCCTCATTGTATACTAAGAGTCATATTTGGAATCAGAATCTAATGCATTCTGGGTACTGGTAATATTTTCCAAAGTCATGCACCAAAACAATGGATTATCCAGCCAATGGTGTTATATGAAATTACCTATAATCGTTTTGATTTTGAAAAGTGAACTGCAAACTAATTCATTGCACAAAAAAATCTAATCTATTGGCAAGTTGTTTTTTTAAATTCAGATGGTGGAAAAGTATATGTCCGCAGCTGTGTTCAAGTTGGCTCTGCAGTTTTCAATTTATGAATATCTTTACTTCGTTGATCCAATCAGTTTGCTTGTGCATCAAATTATGGGTGGAAAATTAAGTTTCTCAAAGTTATTTCGTAGGCAAGTGTGTGCAATTTGGGTTTATTTTCTATAATTTACAGGAGCTATTTTTGCACAGACCTCTCCATCTCCCATGATAACAAGCCTACCTGTAATGAAGAAAGATATAAAATTCCATCTTGTTAATATCCTGTCTTAGAAAATGATATGGAAAAGTGCCATTCAATTTAAAAATCTTTCAAATATCAAATTTTACAGATTTATTCCTAGTCCAGGAACTCACAGTACAAATTAACTCGTTATATATATATCATAATTTAAACCTTTTTCCCAAGTTCGAAGCACTTCAAAGATCTTGACATTCAGCAAAAGTCTAGGCCTCCTAATCTTATTAATACCTATAGTGTTAATAACTGTATAGTGGTAAATATAATCAGATTAATTATCAAAAATCTTACCTAATCACAGAAATAGGTTATAACTGATTATATCAAAATGTTTATCTTAAATTATTACAATTGTATACACTTACAGGTAGTAAGCAGGGTATCAACAATTCAGTGAAAAGTACGTGTGAATATACAGCACTCTTGTTCAATGTTGTACTACCCCTTAAGTCCTATTGTCCAATATTAATTTATGTATTCATAGCACTTTTCTTGATTGACCTGGGAAGTAAAAGTCCAACAATAAGGCATTAACTAAGCAGACTACTGAACAGACCATACCCTGGGGAATAAGTCCACCAGCATGGCAGTAACAAAGCACAGACTACTGAACAGACTATACCCTGGGGAATAAGTCCATCAGCATGGCAGTAACAAAGAACAGAATACTGAACAGACCATACCCTGGGGAATAAGTCCATCAGCATGGCAGTAACAAAAAACAGACTACTGAACAGACCATACCCTGGGGAATAAGTCCACCAGCATGGCAGTAACAAAGCACTGACTACTGAACAGACCATACCCTGGGAAATAAGTCCAGCAGCATGGCAGTAACAAAGCACTGACTACTGAACAGACCATACCCTAGGGGAGTAACAGACCAACAGCATGGCAGTAACATATGATGGAATACTGAACAGACCATACTCTAGGGGAGTAACAGACCAACAGCATGGCAGTAACATATGATGGAATACTGAACAGACCATACTCTAGGGGAGTAACAGTCCAGCAGCAGGGTAGCTAAGTGAGGCAATGACTACTGAACAGACCATACCCTAGGCGAGCAACAGACCACTAGCATGGCAGTAACATATGATGGACTACTGAACAGACCATACTCTAGGGGAGTAACAGTCCAGCAGCAGGGTAGCTAAGTGAGGCAATGACTACATAACAGCCCATACACTAGGGGAGCAACAGATAATTAACATGGCATTACCTAAGCACAGAATACTGCACAGACAATACCCTAAGGGAGTAACAGTCCAAATACATGACAGTAACAAAGCACTGACTACTGAACAGACCATACCCTAGGGGAGTAACAGACCAACAGCATGGCAGTAACATATGATGGACTACTTAACAGACCATACCCTAGGGGAATAACAGACCAACAACATGGCATTACCTAAGCACAGACTACTGAACAGACAATACCATAGGGGAGTAAAAGTCCAACAACATGTCAGTAACAAAGCACAGACTACTGAAAAGACAATACCCTATGGGATTAACAGTCCACCAGCATGACAGTAACAAAGCATGGACTACTGGACAGACCATACTCTAGGGGAGTAACAGTCCACCAGTGTATGGACTACTGGACAGGTCAGCAGTAACAAAGCATGGACTATTTGACAGACATTGGCCTTAGGGAGTATCAGCCTACCAGCATGGAGGTTACAAAGCACTGACTACTGACCAGACCATTAGCCTAGAGGAGTAACAGTCCATCAGCATGGCAGAAACAAAGTATGGACTATTGAAAAGGCCAT